ATTTCATAAACCCCTTCGCCTTTCCACAATTACTTCACAACTTGAGCCAACGCTCTACACAATATTCAATTACCAATAATACTTCCACAAATCAATTCACAACTTGAGCCAACGCTCTTCAATGTTCAATTACCAATAATACTTTCATAAGCCTTGTTCAACGATAGATATCATCTGCATGAACAATACGAAACTAAGTCACATTTATCATAGTATAAGACTCACAGGCATGCTTGACACCGACATATAGATACTCGTCATCATGCCTATACGTCGTACTCTACAATTAACACATAGAAAATAGGATAGAACACCTAATCCCTCAAGCTAAGGTCAGACCAAACACTTACCTCGATGCCACGAACACAATTCAAACCTCAACTACCGCTTTACCTCTTGATTCCACCACCAATTCGCTTGTATCTAGCCACAAGTTACTTAACTATATCAATAAATGCTAAATGAATCAATTCTAATGCATGAAAATAGGTTTTCTAAAGTTTTTCCCAAAAAGTCAAAAATTAACCCTGGGCCCACATTGTCAAAACCCGATTATCCATTCACCCACGAACTCATATATATACTTTATTTTGAAATCGGACCTCAAATCGAGGTCCAAATCCCCAAAATCAAAAATCCTAAGTTCTACCCAAAACACCCAATTTCCCCAACCCTTGATTTTGTGTTGAAATCATGTAAAAGATTAAAGAAAACGAGTTAGAAATGGCTTACAATCAATTTGGAAGAGTAGTTATCTTTGAAAAATCGCCCAAAGGTGTTTAGGTTTTGAAAAGGTTGTAAAAATGGTTGAAAATGCGTCTAAGTTATGATTTAGCAGGTTGCAGATGTCGCAATTGCGACCAGGGTTCGCAATTGCGAACCCCTTCCAAACCTGCTGCCTTCGCAAATGCGAAGAATATGTCGCATTTGCGACACTGAAGGAAATCCGGTCCCCTTCGCATTTGCGAGCTTCGCAAATACGATATCGCATTAGCGATATACACGTCGCATTTGCGACCAAGGCAGCCCAGGTCATCTTTCGCATTTGCGAAGCCTGCAGACCTGCAACATACCAGCAATTTTGTAAGTCCAAATTTCACTCCGTGGCCTATCCAAAACTCACTTGAGCCCTCGGGTCTCCCAACCAAACATGCACGCAAGTCCAAAAATATCATACGGAGTTGCTCATGCGATCAAATCATCAAAATAACATCAATAACTATGAATTTAGCATCAAAATCAAAGAAAAATCTCATGAACTCTTAAGTTCAAATTTTAACAACCGAAGGTTCAATTCACGTCATATCAAGTCCGTTTCTTACCAAATTTTATAGGCTCAACTTAAATACCATATAAGACCTGTACCGGGCTCCGGAACCAAAATACGGGCCCGATACCATCAAATTCAATTACATTCAAGTTTTCCAAAAACTCTACAATTTCAGTTAAACAATTTCTTCAAAAATTCATTTCTCGGGCTTGGGACCTCGGAATTCGATTCCGGACATACGCCCAAGTCCCATATTTTCCTACGAACCCTCCGGGACCGTCAAATTACGGGTCCGGGTCCGTTTACCCAAATGTTGACTGAAGTCAACCTAAATTCATTTTAAAAGCAAAATTCATCATTTTCACAGATTTTTACATAATGGCTTTCCGGATACTCGTTTGGGCTACGCACGCAGATCAAGGTGAAAAAAAAAGGAGGTTGTAAGGCCTCGGAACACAGAATTTATTTCTAAAACAAGTGATAACCTTTTGGGTCATCACATCTTCATGTATATGGACGAGATTTTGTCCAAATATCCAAGATTGAGTTGAACGGGCCTGATTATGAGAGGCAATACTTGCCAAGTTTAGGCAAGTACTAAGTAACACCATTGTCGCGTAGATACTGATGCCGTAACACAAATAAAGAAGGTGAATCAAGAGAAGATTCCATTGTTAGGTTGGAATCAGAGAGAAATCGAGGGGAGGGGGGTGGCTACTAGGGTTTCTCAGAGACAGATGGAATAAAGAGCGTTTAGAGGCGACCGAAGTGGGGAATGGGATTAGGGTTTGGGGTGAGGAGATATAAGGAGATAGGAAGGTTTATTATGGGCCTTTGATCATTTGAGATCAACGGCCAGGATCGAAAAGGGAATGGGGCGGGTCGTTTAAACGGGTCTAGGTTGGGTTTGGCGGATGGGTTGTTTGGTTTGGGCTTCTAAAGGGTAAAATGAATGGGCTAATGGGTTGGTCCAAATTTTGGTCCGAAAATTAGCCTATTTTGGGCCAGCTCTTGAATTAATTAAAATAAATTATTAAAATGTTTAATAAATGGTAAAAATAATATTTATGCTGTAAAACTATTTCTAAAACAATAACTCAACATTATAAAAATATAAAATGCTACTTTGGCGTAAATAATATAATAAACGCAATTATTTGTAGAATATATGCCATTATTGCAAAATTATGTAAATAGCTCGGAAATACAAATATAATTATGTCAAATGAAGTAAAAAAAGTTTTAAAACATGTATGTGGGTGTAAATAACAAATTTGGACGATCAAGTCTTTACAAACAATTTAAAAGGATAATTAATAAAAATTCAAGTAATTTAAATGTAGGAAAATTAATTTTAAAGCTTTAAAAATTATGGAAATTTATGGTAAATGCTTGTATAAATCTTGTAAATTAAATAATGATGCAAAATAATATTTTAAAAATATATATACTATTTGAAAAAATATGAGGGCAAAACCGGGTATCAACACTAGCGAGATTACGCTTGAATTGGCTAAGATTTGTATTGGCCTAAGTAAGTTTGTTTTGATGATTGACAAACATGAACCATGTCCATACACAGTGTGCACAGGGCACATGCAGATTCAAGCATAAGGCATGCACGTGAAGGAGATAAGCACAAGTGGTTATATATGATATCTCTTGAACGAAAAGATTGCATAATTGATAAAGAGCGAGACTCCTTACTTGAGGAGAGCTCTATCCTAGATAAGGGAGGAGTTAGAAGTTGAAAATCACTAGAACTCTTCCACCGTGAAAAAGTATACTTAGTTATTTCTTATCATATATATATATATATATATATATATATATATATATATATATAAAAAAAAGCTAAAGTTAAGCAAGAGTTGAGAGCAAAATAGCAAGGCATTTTGCAAGCAATTCATGTGTGTTTCAAGTGTGCGAACCTTAAGCTACATGAAACAGATAGAAGAACCAGTTCCAAGTGACTGTCTTTTATTCTAGTTCAATTGTAGTAGGGCTTTTGTTATACCTTTCAACTTTATCTAGAAATATGTACTTTGAGTTGTAGCATTCAAGTTAGAGTTAACTTGAAATTATCGCAACAGCTTGAGGCTAGTTGCCACAAAAGGCTAGAGGTAACCCTTAAGTTTACAAGAGTTTTGTGAACAATGTTTTTGGCTCAGTGATTTAGTGAAGTGTTGGGAAAAATCCTAGTGGGTATTAGTAGGCCGTGGTTTTTTCACCTTTTGAGCCAAGTGTTTTCCACGTAAAAATATTTGTGTTCTTTACTTTCTGCACTTATTATTTTGCAGTTGTTGTGTAAGAAACACACAAAAAAAATCAAGTCCTTCTATAATCTGTGCATGCGAAAAATTGGACACCACAAATCACCCCCCTCTAGTGTGGTATTGAAGTATAAAATATCAATTTGTGTCCAAATTTTCAGCAAAAAGGTATCCATTAGCTTTTCTATGGATACAATTTAAAAACTTAATAGTTAAATTTTCTATCTAAATATTTTTTGAAATTTGTCCAATGGAAAAGATATCATGTGCAAATTTTCAAATCTTATATCTTATGGAATATAGAAACTTTGTTTAATGGAAAAGATTGTGTGTATATTTTTAAAACTATTATCAGTAATCTTAATTATTCTATATGGTTGTTATAGAGGGGTAATTTTACAAAGAGCATTGTGCTATAAATATGGTTATTGTTGTTATAGGTACAAAAAATGTTATAGAAAGGTAAAAAATATAACTTCAAAATTGGTTCTGAGGAAAACCTGGTTTTTATAATGAGTTGTTATATAAGGATGATGTTATAAAGAAGTCTGGCTGTATATACATACATTTATACATGTGAGAGGAGAGGTAGAGGTAGGCCAAAGAAGTCTTGGCAAGAGGTGATCAGGCGGGACATGCTTGAGCTATCCGAGGACATGACCCTAGATAGAAGGGTGTGGAGGTTGAAGATTAGGGTAGAAGGTTAGTAGGTAGTCGTGCGTTTCCCTTTGTCTTCTCTAGCTCGATAGTATTAACGCTAGTACGGTACCCTTTTTTCCTTAGTTTGCTATATTCGCATATCTCGTTCCATTGTTACTTGCCATCGGTAATTCCGTAGTTTGCTAGCAGTACTTCGTTCATATTCTCGTTTGCTGCCTTGGAATTATTTTTCTAAATATGTTATATATCTTGCTATTACTTATTATCGGTATCCCTTTCATATTCTCTGTTGCTATCTTCGATTTAGTTTTCTAATTATTTGTCTTGCCATTACTTGCTATCAGGGCTTCTCCCACCTTCTTTAACCGAGGGTCTATCGGAAACAGTCTCTGCCCTCCCAGGGTAGGGGTAAGGCTGCATACATCCTACCCTCCCCAGACCTCACTTGTAGGATTATACTGGGCGGTTGTTGTTGTTGTTGTTATACATGTGTGTACCTTTGTGTGTATTACATTTACACCATTTTGAACCAGATATCCTTACCATAACACTGACATTCAAAATTATGAAACTAGTAAATTAGGAGACCAACAAGTTTAAAAATTTCGTTATATTGAAGTTTGGCAACAAAAAAATTAAAGGCTGATGAAGAAGAAGAATAAAGGAGAAAACAATACTGATACAATTTTGCTGCCTTTTTGGGGGGGGGGGGGTGGGGGGGGGTA